TCTAATAATTCTTGCCGTGCTTTGTAAGACATTCGAATATATTGCTATCGCATTCATTGTTTCGCCATTTTGGCGAAACTGCATGTGACTTCTTTGGCCATTATTGTTACTCGTCAGAATATGTTTCTCAAACCAAAGAGGAAGGGGGGGGGGAGGCAAACAAAGATGAGGGAGTTCGATTTGGCACGTTCAGGCCGACCCACAAAAATAAATTGGTTATAAGTGCGATAAAAATTTGAAAGTGTATATACTCATAACCAGACATGCATACTTACGAGTTTAAAAATTTTCTACAGTTGATTGACTCTAAAATGATACGTCTTGTCCTCCGCGGTGGACCGGAAGAGGCTGCAGTGCTCGGCTTCTGACCCGAAAGGCGCGCATTCAACTCCGGCCGCGACGGTCGCATTTCGGCGAGGAGGCCAAATGGTAGAGATCCGTGTACTGTGCGATATGAGTGCACGTTAAAGAACCCCAGATGGTCGAAATTTTCGGACCTTTCCAAGACGGCGTCCCTCATATTCGTATCTGGTTTTGGGTTGTAAAACCCCGTATATTATGTCCTCAGCTGACGCGCCAGGCACCTCTCTGGAACATGAGAGTCATTTGTATATAGCGAGGTTTAGCTTGTACGTATACTTCCTTACGTTACCGGTTTACGTTTACCGTGTTACCGGCACCCGAGTTTTAGCAGCGTTTTGCTACACATACGGGAACCTTTACGTTCGTACGTAAAAGTTTACGTTCGCCGATGATGATGAACATGGATGCACACATATACGTTTTCTTTTAAATAAAACTTAATCAACGCTGCGGCGCAAATATAGTAACTTTTCACATGTAAAACTATCAAGTGTTTTGGTGCTATATAATCACCTAACCCATTAAAGTTGGCTGCGTGCAGAAGGCTATAAGGAGCCACCGCATAGTTCTTTAAGCCTCTCTAGTTAAGCCTCTCTGGTTGAACGGTCAGCGGCTAGCCGCATTCGCAAAGAAGTGGTCGTCGATATGGCAAAGAGTGTGCTCCAAGATCCATTCCTGGCTCAAAATCTTCCGTGGGCGGAAAGATTGCAACGAACTGCCGTAAGTTGTCGCTTCACACAGTTCAACCAGTGACGTGTGAGTGAAATATCTTCATCACGCGCACAATAGACGCGGGTAAACTGACGTCACCTGGCTAAGTCCACTTGGGGATGGTCCGGTTAAACTTGGACCGCCTTCGCGTGGGCCCTCTGGACGACCATGATTTCAAAGTTTCAAAGTTTCAAAGTTTTATTTGCAGGAAAAAAAAATACAAAAACTTCCCTGCGGGAGGCAAAGACTAAAGGCTAAATAGCCTGACGAGGTCTTGACCTCCTGATACAGTCTGCATCAGTGCCATATTACACATATTCACACATCAGTAACATACATATACAAATAAGTGACATTATACATATCTTATTTAGTTACATAGCTTATTTCTACATGATATACATTCAGAATATGTTTTACATAAACAGGAAACAATTTTGGTATCAAACGATTCTGTTTAAGTATCATTGTTCACAGTAAGAGAAAAAAATCAACTCAGTATACAAGTATTCCTAAATATAAAAGCCTATGGATCTACTATGTCTTTAGTCAAAAGAAGAAAGGATTTATGATGACATTTAAATTGTTTAGTTTTCAGAGTAAAGTCTATATTCGATTCGTGAAGGTTTAGCAATTGTATGATCTTATAATCAATAGCCTGCTTGCCATAGTTCGTGCGTGTTTTCTTAGTTTTTCGGGTAGAATTTCTGAAGCCATATGTTGTTGATACAGTGCGTGGAAAGGAATCCTGTAGTTTATGTTTGTGGATGTGTTGCATCAGTTTAAGATTATATACTTTCCTAGCAGATAGAATTCCATGTTTAAGAAAAAGCGGCTGAGTGTCTAAGTCCTTGGGGACTTAGACACTCAGCCGCTTTTTAATCAATCGCTAACATAATCAATTTGAAAGGTGAGGTCGGCAGGATGGACAGTTGTCAATAATCTGCAAGGTGGCTTTTCTGTAAGGTTAGTTTTCCAACCAAAAACTCTCGTTCACAGACTGCTTTTCTCGCTCATTGTGTTGGATTCGCTCGCAGGATTTAAAGCTGGACGGTTGTGCACTCGTGATCTCCGACGCCAGCGTAGCTCCCGCCAACTGGTTCGCCCTCCGCGGTCTCCTGACGCCGTGCAGCTCTCGCATTGTGGCGCCCCGCCCTTGGACTGCTTCGACCGGATCCCCACTTTCCTATCTCCTTCTTTTTTCCGTCGCTTGCCTGTCTACTTCTTCGTCTATTTTCCTTCTATTCTTTTTATCCCTCCTTCCCCCCACCCCTATAAGGCACTGCGCCGTGTCGCCTGAAGGCAGACAGAAAGTGCCTTTTTCCTTTACCTTGTAACCACTACGACCACCTCATTGTGTTGTACTCGCGTGCCTTCGCTGCACAATGAGCGAGAAAAGCAGTCCGTGAACGAGAGTTTTTGGTTGGAAAACAAGCCTTTACAGGTAAGCCGACTTTGCAGATTATTGCGAACTGTTCATTTTTTTTTTTTCGGTGGTGGGGATAGTCAACTACACCTGATGCTAGAGCGTGAACATGGAAAAAATAGAAAAACAAAATTGGGGCGTGAAACCGTTCCACCAGGTACGCCATGCAGTGTGTTAGGCTAAAGCATTCACCACACGTACGTGTCTACAACGCGTGGGCACATGGCGTCTGGGCTCGGTGCCTCGCCCATGGCAGGCGCTTGCGTGCTGTAATGCGTACGTGTAGTTTACCTGGGGGCACGCAGTAATTCTGAGAAGGGGCAACGACCATGATTAAAAAGACGGGACGACATTGTTTAGCCCCACCTTGCTAAGACTGGGCATCAATTTTATGTTAAGTGTAGTTTACCCAACTTTGTTAGTTAGCCGTATTGCTAATCTCTTGAATCATTGTCAAAGTGCGCATGTCAAATTGCGTGTCGTATTAGAAAACGCCGTGTCCACTTGTTTCTAGCTTGTAACATTTTTCATAGTTGTTTTTTCCGCGTGTTAATGTTACGACCAGGCCCGTAACCAGAAAGAAAAAAAAGGGCCGAGCCCCTCCCACCGCCAGAAATCCGAATGACTGTTATGATGACAATAATGACAAATATTGAAAAAAATAGCTGCTTTTCAAGGCTTTAAACGAGTGCTCCCCCTCCCCACACCATCGAAAAGCTGGCCCTAGACAATCGGCCTTTGTCGGAACCAAGGATTCTGGGTCATTGGCCGAGCCCATCCTCAGCCCAGAAGGCTTTGAAAGCTTTGCTGCGCTTTTTGCGGACAACTGGCCTCAGAGACAGACTTTAGTGTCTTATACTCTTTGATGTTGCCTTTCCTCTGTCGCATTTTTTTTTGTAATTTCTCCCTCTCTTCGCAACATTTATTTTTAACATCTTTCATTCCCCTCACCCCTCTCCCCAGCACAGGGTAGCCAGCCGGTCTAAGAACTGGCTAACCTCCCTGTCTTTCCGCTTAAACTTTCCTCCTCCTCCTGGCCCTCTACAATTTTTTTTACGCAGCCGTTGTCATTATCATATCTTCATATAATCGCATGCCTCAAAACAGCCGCAAGGCGTGCATAGATGATGCAGGCGCGTTTTATCAGTCGACATGCTTTTTGTCTTATGAGATAGATATGACGAAAGCGCGCTGAGGGAGCGCGGATCTTCTGCCAAGCAAGCACATAAATACGTCGATCCACGTATATTTGTTGCTTTGCGAGCTTGACACGTTGACGGGTTCGGTAGAAATCGACAGCCACGAGCTCACTGGTATCGTATTTTAGCCAATGATGGCGCTCTTCCTTTCGGGGCTAGTTGCAAGTCAAGCATGTCTAGGCATATTAAACACCTTCTGTTTATTATAGCGGAATCATAAGTAAGGCACGGCCTACATCTAGGGTTCTGTAGTAAGGCAGTGAAGATAAACAAACTATAGGAAGGTACTATCGATCTACGTATAGTGGCAGTTCACGTCTGCACTGTGCAATCGGAACGCACCCGAGTCGAATCCAAACCCTAGAGGAAAAAAGAAAAAAAAAACGTCAGGTACTAGAAACAGGGGAAACGTTTTTTTTTTTTAGAAATTTGTTTGCCACGTTTCCTTGAAACACACACAAACGCACACCAGGCCTCTTTGTTTCGCAGCCTTTCTTTGTCTCTTTACATTTTCAGACTTTGGCGAGCTGAAATATATGCTGGCAAGTGCCTATAGATCCTATGGAGCTCGCTTGCCTGCATTCTGCTTCCTCATTGACTCGAATGCCAACATACGCGCTGTCGTAATAATTCAGTGTCATTCGTTATTGTCGGTTGTGCAATGCCTATGTCGCCCCTTCGGTTCACATGTCCCGAGGCATGACCGGTGGTTGGTGGCAAGCGTCCAACCACGGCCATGCGGACGCCGAAGGGCATTATGGACGACGCATCGATATATAGAAAGACCGCACCTCAGAAGTCGGAAAACTGCGCAGACCGTCCGAGTCCAGCGCCGGACTACGAGTTTAGGTGTTGCAAGCGTAAGCAGCAATGGTCCGAATGCCTTCGTTTCGCCTCACGTTTTGTCGATTTATTTTTGAGCAACTGAATTAAAGGGTTTGCGGAGTAGCCTACGACTGTCGACCTTTCAAACTATAGTAATAATAATTGCTGGGTTTTACATCCCTAAACCACGGTATGAGGTGCGCCGTATCGGAGGGCTCCGGAAATCTGACCTCATGGGTTTTTTAACGTATAACGTCCCGAATCTAGGCCCACAGGCCTCTGGCATTTCGCCTCAATCGAAATGTATTCGCCACGGCCGGGATTCTATCACGTGACTTTCGCGTCAGCTGTGAAGCACCGCAGCCACTAGGTTACCACCACGGGTTTACGTAAAGATGAACGAACCAAAGAATGGTGGCCAATTGTCCACCACTTGCCATTTCACGCTAGAAATGCCCTTATATATGAAAAACAAGTCACGGCGCATAAATGTTTATTCGAAGACGATGGAAATCATATCTGAATTAATCTTTATCTTGCGGTTTGCAAATGACCGAAATGTGCGCTTTATGTACAAAATGTCAGTCATTGCCGTGTGTTGCTGTCCGTCGTTGCCGTCTGTATCATGTTAGCTTTTCCTTTCTTCAAAGCTAGCTTGTTTGTTATGAAAGGTCGATTATCGTCACGTGTGCTCCGTTTCGACGTCGTACACGACACCACGACACAGTCCGTCGGGCTGTCACATACAACACCTCTTTGGCGTTCAAGTTATAGCAATAACAAAATATCAAATCTAAACAGAAGTGAACAGGACGTTGTTGAAACATCTCAGGCCGGTATCTGTTTTGGAAAGAGTAGTTTGTGAACTTGTGAAAAAGCACTGCAATGATGAAGAGAGGATTCCTTTCGAACGTTGGTGGACATGGTATAAAACTACCCGCGCGCAATTAGAAGACCGACGTGCGATTCACGTATGCTGATGGGAGCGCGCACGTCAGCTATTGCCAACCCTGCGTAAGTTTGAATCTACGGCGACGTTTATCATGTCAGTGCCGAGGAAGAAATCGGTGGCCACGAGGTTCGCGCAGCGCCACCAGGTATCCCTGAACCAGCGCGTCACTTGGGCGTTCACCTCCTGCGCCATCTTGCGATTGCTCTTGAGAAAAGGCAGCTGCGCCGTCGTCTGCGCCATGGCAGACGTGGGCGTATCGAACGTTGGCTCGCACACTTTTTCGTCGAGGAAGCTTTGCAGCGTCGACACGTCATTCGTGTTCGCCCAAAGGTGCTTGACGCCTTGGCCGACGTGCTCGACTCCGGGCCCGTGGTACGGATGGTTGTAGCACAGCAGCACCTTGGGACCCGGGGTCGCAACGTCCCTGCAGCCGTCCAGTATGTCGGCAAGAGGAACCCTCGTCGCGTTGCGGAACAGCAGCAATCCTCTCAGTTCTTCGGTGATGAGCTGCACGAGGCGGACGTGATTCTCGTGCGGGTTCGGGTCCCGCTTGCGAAACCCTGTCGTGAAGCGGTGAAAGTCCAGAAGCACGGGCTCCCCGGTCTCCTGGACGAACTGGCGCACCTGCCTGAGCACGTCGCGAACGGTGAGCTGTCCCTTGATGAGGTCGTGGGTGATCCAAAACTCCCCGCGGCTTTCCTGGACGCGCAGGTCGAGCGAGCGGATGCCGTACAGCAGCTGGTTCAGTATGGTCTCTTCCTGGTTGAGCAACAAGTGGTCGAAGATGGTCACGTGGTCAGGTGAGGACGTGTCGTACATGGCGGAGTTGTGCGTGCCCGGCACGAAGAGGTCGACGAAGCGTAGGTGGCCCAATTCGCGACAGTGCTGTCGCATCCAGCGAGGTCGCGCCCTCAGGCAGGACGTCGAGGCAACGGGACTCTCGGGAGTCGACAGGACGGCCCAGAAGCCCAGACAATCGTCGGTCGTCAGGCTAGTCCAGTTGTAGCGAGGGAACACCTACCGACGTGGTGCGTCGTCCGTCCCGGCCCGTCACCTGGTACGATTCGAGCGGATTGAAGCTGACGTTCCGCGCCGCAACGTGCGGGTCGGTGTTGAAGAGGTGCACGGAAGCGACGTCCTGAAGGTGCGAAGGCAGCCCGTACCAGTTGAGCTCTAGGCGTCGGTATCTGCCATCTTGCTTCTTCGACGCGGCTGTCAGGTAGACTCCCCAAGTGCGCCTCTCTCCTGCGGGTAATTAGGTGTGAGTGACGTACGATAGCGTAATATTCGCAGCGTTATAGATAACTAGTAGAACGCCGTGCTTATACCATGGTGCACCGATGTAACATGCATGATGGAAATGACCATGACGATTCAGTGCGTGTTAACGACTGTATACGTCTAGCAAAAGAAATGCGCAAATCAGTACGAGGAAACACATTAATTCAACAATGTAATACACGGAACACACGAGGGCCGTGAGTGAACAAGCTGAATTTTAGTTGCGACTGTAAAATCAAGCTGAAAAAGTTGAAACATAGGGATGCGGGCAACAACGTGAAAAAAAAATAATACTGTGAGCCGTATATTTCCCTGCAGTGTCTTGGCTACTCGTAAAATACCTGTGCCTTCGTCTGAGTTACCGCAAAATTGGCTCGAAAACATCGTAACACCGCTGCTGTCTTCGTTTATATCGGCATTCCGGCACCAACCACGTAATGGTCAAAGAAAGAAGACACCCGTCAAATTGATTTTGTACGCGCTTAAGCTTGACGTTCCCTCTCTTTAATTTTAGACATGTACTGAGACTATTCAATTAGCTATATTGCTTACCGGGTTTAACTTCGTTTTTAAAACCATGACCCAACTTCACTGATGAGGTATCGTTAATCGTACAATGAGCGTGCTCTATACTGTGTGATGCCAAGTCCGTATCTCGCTGAATGCACCGCACGTTTTACCGCAATCGCACCACCCCGGAGTAATGTCGGCATCTCCAATCTCTCTCTTTTTTTTTCTGCGCCTGGAAAGTGCTTGTTATTCGCTCGCGTGGTTTTTGAGTGCTCCGGAATTCATAAGCAACCGTACAGTGCATGGTTTCCGTGACGTTCTTTCCTGGAAGGTTTGCGATTAGGAATCGAAGCACGCGTTGCCTGCAATCGGCGGTGGTTCGTATTGGATTGATCGGCCTGCGTAACGCTGCTAGTTAGCGGTCTTCGCTTGTATGAAGTTGTAGCAGTGCCGCAGATCCCCGATATATTGTGGAGTGAAATGTGTGGTCGCCACGCCATCTAGGCGCACTATATTATAAGCATTAGAATCAAATTCTTGAGGTGGCTCCGGGTTTTCATATAAGACACATCGTCGTTATTAATAAGCCCTGCACGCGCTGTCAAAGCGAAGATGCAGTAGGACCTAATGAAATTCGACACGATGCATGGTATCTTTCGATCGGCAGCCGTGATCTGTTAAAGTGACATCAGAGGATGAATGTTGCTCCGGTCGGTGCGATCCAGCCATGGCATGAATTAATGGCGGTAAATATATTTGCTGCCCAAATACACCAAGCTGGACGGTTTTGTCGCCGTCTTGACAAATGTCGATCGTCACGAATGAGGGGGGCGGGAATAGATATGTAGAATAAAGTAAAAAATGATTTAAGAAATGATTGCGATTGATTGCGATGCTTGCCGATGCTGGCAGCCAATGGCCGTTTTGTTTCGTGTCCAGTCCGTCCGTGTCATCAGACGAAGCACGTCGGATCTCGCGCGCAATCGCACACCCACGTGTCGCTCTTCAGCTCGAAACGTAGTTCGCGGCTTCGCGACACTCGCACACTTTTCCGTAGTTCGCGTAACAGAGAGACGGCGTTACTGCGGCTCACCGTGCTCTTGTGCGGAGACAGCGACGAGCAGCAGGAGCAGGGGGACGCGTCGCATGGTGCTCGGAGCGGTTTTTCCTCTCCGGTCGCGATAAGCGTCGCGTCACTTTCCCAGAAGCGACCTCGCCGCGCAGGCTCGATTAATCGCCAGCACGCGATGAGGCGCCCCCAGCGCAGGCGCGAAAGAGAGACGAAATGTTCGTATTTTTTGTTCCGTTTTGTTTCGTACCCCTCCTCCCAACTTGGATCGTCCGAAGCGTGCCCTCACGTTTTTCCCTCCTCCCAACTTGGATCGTCCGAAGCGTGCCCTCACGTTTTTCCCTCCTCCCAACTTGGATCGTGCCCTCACGTTTTTCCGGCACTCGGCCAACGGTTCTTGTCTGTGCCTTGTAACAGACACGCTCGGACAGCAACAGGAAAAAAAAAAAACAACCAAAGGAGACCACGTGTCCGCGTAAGGCGATTGAACCACGCGTGAGATTGGAAAGAAGAAGAGACTGTCCAGACCAGACGACAATGTCATTAGAAAGTCGTTACTATTGCCCGCTCCCATGCGCAGACAAATAAGGTGTCGTCGAGAGTGCCTGAACTCGGCTTGGTCCGACGGTTGAGAAGGCGAGCTCTTCACATTTCACCCTCTACAGCTTCGCAATGGGTCTTACGTATGCCTCAGCACTATACATGCGTGGCAGAGTGGGTTCCAACCCATCTTCCAAAATTTTTTTTAGTTATACGCACGCTTACATAGAGGAGAGTCAGACTCCGTCTAACATTTATTAAAAAGATAGCCATGGTACGCTCAAATTACGACAGGTAGATTGCCACTATCCCTCAAGAGGAAGGTGTATAACAGCTGTATCTTACCGGTACTTAGCTACGGAGCAGAAACCTGGAGACTTATTACGAAGAGGGTTCAGCCTAAATTAAGGACGACGCATGCGAGCAATGAAAAGAAAAATGGTAGGTATAACCTTAAGAGACAAGAAGGAAGCAGAGTGGATTAGGAAACAAACGAGGGTTAAGGATATCATAGTTGAAATCAAGAAGAGGAATTGGACATGGGCCGGGCATGTAGCACGTAGACAGGATAACCGCTGGTCATTAAGGGTAACTAACTGGATTTCCAGAGAAGACAAGTGGGTTAAGGGGAGGCAGAAGGTTAGGTGGGCAGATGAGATTAAGAAGTTTGCGGGTATAAATTGGCAACAGCAAGCACAGGACGGAGGTTAACTGGTGGAACATGGGAGAGGCCTTTGTCCTGCAGTGGGCGTAGTCAGGCTGCTGATGATGATGATGAACCATAGTACGCACCTCGTTTTTCAACAAAGTCGCAATATGAATATTTATTGGGCAAACATAAAAAGAAAAAAAGTAAGTGGGTTGATGAGCCAGTATGCAGTAGAACAAAGGCAACTGCCCATTCTGCCATGCGCACTTAGAATTTTGGAAGTAACACGAATTATTTTAGAGCGACACGCGTTACGAGCACATGCTTTCGTTTAACACACAATTAAAACAGTGGCTCTATCACTGGTCAATGCTTGCAGTCCGAATGTGGTATTAACCCTACCATTTTTGTGGGGCAGGAAGGGAATGGGGGGGGGGGGGCGCAGTGTATGGCGATGGATCGCAGTATTGACACGCGAGTTCATTTCAACAATTTTCATAGCAGAAACCTACTCTAAATTACGGCAACGACATCAAAAGAGGCATGATCTTTCTTGTCAGACGAGACAGCAAAATGCTGAATGCCAATAAGGACGATATACTACGTCCTGTCTTCGTGATCAGTTCGAGCACATGCGCCATATACTTTTACGGTTGGTTTGTCAGCCTCACGCGCCTTGCTTCGAAGGACGTTGCGCATGAGCTCTTCACACCCAGGAACAATTGAAGGCCGTTCGGTGAAAGTATTACAAAATCGACGTCAACTGTTGTACGCGCAATACGGACACTTGAGCTATTATCAGCACACTCTGGCCATCACGTGTGCACGGTCCTGGCAGTTTTCTTCCCTTTATGCACGCTATCTCGGAAGGACATGAACCCCTGCTTTTTGTGAAAATGTTGATGTGGACTACGAATACGAATATTGAGCTAAGCATATGATTGCAACTGCTCTTTGTTATCAGAAAGTGCAGTGAGTCTTTTTCACAATATGTAAGCGTCCTTGCTCCGAAATGGCTCGTGTTTTCAAAAATTGTCCCTACTTATCCCGATGTGAAGTAGAACTAACAGCTTCCGGATGAAGACATCAAAAGTGAATATTGCATGTGACATTACATGTCAAGGCCCATTAGCTTGCACATTTTACATAGCTAGCAACCTGCATTAAATATGCCTGAAAGATCCTGTTTTTTTTTCTTTTTAGTGAACCACAGGTTCACTACACTATCACCTTGGTGGTAGAAATAACTCGTACCACGCGTGGAATAAAAGGAAGAAGCAAGCAATAACACTTCTAGGTCGAAGTCATGGATATGACGCGAAATATTTGGAATAAGTTTGTCGTCTTAGGGTTTTTTTTAATAAATTTATTTATGCTTTACTTATTTGTGGTCCCACTTTATTGATTAGCCTGATCTGTATTCCATCCAGCCCTGTCACCATGCCCATTGATATTTTCTCTTTCTACTTTTGGGAGCGAACTATGTTCAGCATATATTGTATTGTACGGACTTCTCTTTTTTCTTTGGGTCACTCTTTCACCGCTTTTCAATGACTCAACTTGTATACCTCGAATGTACACGATTACGACTTCCCTCTCGAAATTCATGTCATCATACTCTGCACAATTTTTTTTCTCGCGGTGCATAAAGACTTCTTATTGCGAAGCATTCTTGGAGCACTTTCGGTCTATTTCACGCAACCGCAGCAGAGTTTGTTCGGTATCACTTCCTGTTCTACATCGTCTTGACTTCTCCGCAATGTTTGGCTCATTCCTTCGCCGATTTTGAACGATGCAACTGTATTACCTTTAATGTACTTCATCACATCCAACCCCGCCGCGGTGGTCTAGTAGCTAAGGTACTCGACTGCTGACCCGCAGGTTGCGGGATCAAATGCCGGCTGCGGCGGCTGCACTTTCAATGGAGGCGAAAATGCTGCCGGCCTGTGTGCTCATATTTGGGTGCTCGTTAAAGAACCCCAGGTGGTCGAAATTTCCGGAGCCCTCCACTATGGCGTCTCTCATAATCATATCGTGCTTTTGGGACGTTATACCCCAAAAATCAATCAAATCAGTGGAAGTATAACTTGTATATACTTCACAAACTCACGCGTCCTGTATACGTGCTTCACAATTCAACACGTAATATCGCAGTAATAATGCGTCGTACAAAGCGCACATTACGATCGGGCGTCA